TCCTATAATATTCTAATTTGGAGAGTGGAGTTTGGAGGTTTTCTCCAACCCACACTCTCTAAATATTTTTCTTTCTTTTTTTGTCAAACAAAGCCATATAAATTAAAAATGTTGGATATAGTTTACATTACTAATTTTATTTTTAATAATTTATTTGGAAAAAAATAACATTAGAAAGGTGTCGACGAGAGCTTTAAAATGAACCCAATATTAATAATGCAATACAACATATTAAAAAATAAAATCTAAAATAACAGTGACAAAGCATACATCGATAGAATAATGAAGCAAACATAAACTTCTAATACAACATACCATAAGTCGCAAACATAAACCTCAAACATAAAATATGATAACGGTCAATTAAAATTCTAGCAGGTCATTATCATTATAACTACCGGTTCCATCCCAATCTCTAGATGAACCCCCATATTCATTTCTTCCTATAGAACCAGCTTCTCCCGCAAACTTAGAAAATCCTCCTTGATCTCGAGAGGGAAATCCATATTCGGTTTCTCCTCCTACAACTCCTCTTAAAAGCTCAGAAAATCCTCTTGGCCCTCCGGAGGAAAATCCATAGTCGAATGATGGAGCTCTATATTCTTTTCTATTAATAATTTCTTTTTTTTTCTTGATAGTAAGCACATTCACTTTGATCGACAATCTTACTTAGATCAATCAACATAATTTATCTATCTCACTTTCACGCTGAAGAGCTAATTGTTGGTCACATTATTCTACTTCTCTAGCTCGCAATTCTAATTTTATTTTTTTTATTTTTAAGTTTCATTATCATCAATCGCTCCATTTTCCCCTGCTCATTTCACGTTTAGCATCCATCCATTGCATACTCTTAATAATTTCATCCTTAGAACTAAACTCTGCCGAATTTTTTCCTTTTGCCTTCTCCTTCTTTCTTCCAACAGGGCAACTTGTTGGGCTGTCCGTGGGAGACTGGTCATCACTCATGTTCATAAAACTTTTGCTCTCCGTGTTGAGATCAATAACGTCCTCTGTTTTATTAGGCCGACTTTGTGTGTTCGGGTCTAATCCTTCAGAGATGCTCCCAATTGTATGATTGGATTTAAGGTCAGCTCATTTCTCGGCATCCTTGAGGATCGTCCAAACATGATCGATTTGAAATCCTTTCCTTTCTTTAACATCTTCTCCGTACATGATTCTAGCTTGAGTCAACGAAGGAATATAATTTAAATATTGTAATTTATGCTTGTATTTTCTTATGGAACAAGTAAAATAGATCACCGTATTTAAATTTTCATGTATAATACTTATTTATTTAATTTAAAAAATAATAATTTTATAAAATACTAAAATAAATTAATATTAGTTTCATTTTAAAGATCTAGATGAGACCTTTCCAAATATATAATTATTTTAAAAATTAGATTAATAATTTCTTAACTATATTTATTTGAAATTAAAGATCTAATTTAAATTACTGAGAATGATGACAAAGTGGTAATTTTTAAGAAATTAAATAGTTGGAAGTGGCAAAGTTATAATAATAAAAGTTTGAATAGTGATTTGGAGAGCCTCTCCAAATTCTAGCTTTAAAGCATCTCCAATCACTCTTCAAATCTCCATCCCTCCAAATTTGGATAGTGAATCCTTTCCAATCACTCTCCAAATTTGGATATCTCCAAATTTGGATAGTGAATCCTCTCCAATCACTCTCCAAATTTGGAGATCTCCAAATTTGGAGATGGTTCACTCTCCAAATTTGGAGAGTAAAGGTAGAATTTGGAGAGTGGAATTTGGAGATCTTCATTTTGAGGATTTTCTCAGTTTGCGCGAGAAGCTGGTTCTGTAGGAAGAAATGAATATGGGGTTCATCGAGAGATTTAGATGAAACGATAGTTATAATGATAATGACCTACCAGAATTTTAATTGTCTGTTATCATATTTTATGTTTGAGGTTTATGTTTGCAACCCATGGTATGTTGTATTAGAAGTTTATATTTGCTTCCCTTTTCTATCGATGTATGCTTTGTTACTGTTATTCCAGATTTTATTTTTTTTAATATGTTGTATTGAATTATTAATAAATTTGGAGAGTGAACCATCTCCAAATTTGGAGAAACAAATTTGGAGATCTCCAAATTTAGAGAGTGATTGGAGAGGATTCACTCTCCAAATTTAGAGGGATGGAGATTTTGAAGAGTACGATTGGAGATGCTCTAAAGACATAACACTATATAAATAGCTCATATTCTCACAATAAGAAGAAATTACTAAAACCTCTAATCTTTCAAGATGACGAAGCTCGCTATTTTTGATAGAGTCTTATTTCTCGCACTGCTTTTTGTATTTGGTACCTTCTCTTTCCTTCATCTTTGCGTTAATAGTTTTGATTTCCGACTTAGGTTAAGGTATATGTAGTCAATCAAATATTATTCATAAACTTTTTCAGTAGCAATTAGATCCCTTTAAGTCGAAACGAAGCTATCCCTTTACCTATAAAATAATTGAGGGTATTTCTGCGACATACTGAAATATTTAGATTCTTTGCAACACATTTATGTCTTAATTTACGATATAAGGGTATGTTACTTTGGTTTTGCGTAAATTTGATGTTTCCTAATTTTTTTTTCAGCTTGTCTTGAACAAGTGACTGCTATTGGGGTAATTTGCAAGACGGAGGTTTGCGAAGACAGTTTTTGCCAGTCGATGTGCGTGGCTATGATCCCAAATAGAGCTGTGAAAGGAAAATGCGAGATAAATACTTGCCAATGCTACTATAATTGCTGACGAAGAGATTGAAGATGGAATCTCTCAATACAAATAAATTTAACATACTGAGATTCTTTTTTTTCTTGCAACAAATAATTGTTCTAGCTAGCATGGATCCAAGTATGTTATATTGTTGAATCGTAATTGTTTTAGATATAATGATTGAGAAGTAATTGCTTTATTAAATAAAAGCAACCGAAATTTTTTTATTTACCTTTGGTTGGTTCTAGCCATTGAATTACTTAAGGAAATGGGTGATTTCTTCCTTATAGGAATGTGATTGTATTTTTCACTCACTGTAAATTCACCTCCGAAATAAAGTTATTCATTGCATGAAAATCAATAATAGTAAAAATTTATATTAGAGGTAGTCAGATTATACGCCAACGATGACCAAGTACGGTATTCGACAGCGATACAACCTCTCCTCTACTGCATAAATATCAATAGAAATTAAGCTCGAAGTTAAGCAAATGATATCCGGCTGAAGGACTGAAATGAATATAGATTTTTAAGCAGTACAAGAAGAGGAAGTATGAGATATTTTGTTCAATCATAAATAGTTGAAGTTTTAAATAAAAAAGATGTGTCCACGGGCGTTGATATCTTTTTAGATCTTTACCGTTGGAAGTGACGATTATAGGAGTCAAATGGAACTTGTTCATAGACTTAAAAATTTATGTGTGATTTGTTTACAAAAATACTCTTAAAAAAATAAAACAAAAGTCTAATCTTAATCAAATCAATAAAGAAGCGCGCCTATCATCCCCGTTCATCAACCCAACGTTTGCAGAACCTAATCCCATCATCCACATATTTGTTTAGACGCTAATAAAGAGATACAGAGTATTCAACTACTACTAATAGTAACAAGGGCACCCGTTAATATAGACTAAACTCGGTAAGTTTTTAATTATTGCAAAACTAAGGCGTAATTCACTCCCCTTTTCTATCAAAATTTGTTTCTGAGATTATTTCCTGCATCTATGCTAATATTATTATAAACAAAATAGTAATAAAAAACAAAACTAATTTATTATAACAACGTGTATCTCGGATCCTTTCGATAATTAAGATTTTTTTTAAAAGTGCAAATAAGTAATGAGTGCAACTCATGAGATATGGTGAGCGTTAGACTTAGAAAGAATATCGACCGTCCACTAGATGATCAGCTCTTGTTATTAAAAGTAGTAATCTCTTCATTACTTTTTTAAAGTGGAGAGGATCCAAATTTGATTACCTCTTCCCTTAGATTGAAAGTTTTTCCTAAAAATTGATTAAAGAAAATTCTTTATTTTTTTATTTGCATTGGAGCAAGTTAACATAGATCTCCAAAAACGATTAAAGGAAAAACATGTCTATTTTTATTTCACTGAAAACAAATTAACTTAGAACTAAATAAAGCTTATCTATCAAATAGAAGATATTCAATTCCATTGCTAACCTTAATATAAGTATAGTATAATTTTAATTTTCTAATAATTATATAAAACAACTAGTCATATTTTAGAGGGAAGGATTCTAAATTTAGAGGGAAGCAAGAAGAAAGAAATGTTTTAAAGCCACTAATCATGGAGGGATTTTCTAATTGATTTAACCTATGGACATTTACCATGACCGCAGCGAGTCAATTATGGCATTTAAGACAATATTTCTGGAAGAATCAAATACTTTCCGCATTTATAATCTATATAATACAACACTGATGACCTAATCTCCTAATTATAGTACCGGATATCATTATCATCCACAACAAATGTGCCTCGGTCTTTGGTCAGACCAAAGCACGAGCACGCTGTACTCTTTAATTCATTAGTCTCAATGAAGTTAGAAAATTGTTTTTTAGATGCCAGTCCCTCCAATCTTCAACAATTTCATAATAATCTCTTGAATCTCGAACGTTTTGCTCGTAAATCCCTCAAATCGTAACGCCTCTTGCAAATTATTCCCAAACTTTCTATTTAGCTGAGGGGCGTTTTAATCATTGAGGAATCAATTCGCAAGCGCCCTTTGGCGCTCAGAATCTTGGGGAAGCAAAATACTCGCAGCCTTATGTTTTAATCCCAAACCTTTTGTTCAGCTATGTAATATTCAAGCCATTGGGGAATCAATTTGCAAGAGCCCCTCAGCCCTCAGATTTGTAGGGACTTACGAGCAAGAATAATGATTTGAGGGACGACGATTGAATTATTGAAGATGTGAGGCATTAATAATCTAGAAAACTAATAGAAATCTATTTTTTTAATAATTTAATAAGTAATGAAGACGCTGCGTGCTGACCTCTGGGATCCTTTTCGTCTGCCCAGCGCTTTAACCCGAGGTCTCTCCTCCCTCTTTCCTTCTCTATTCCGTGGGGGCAAACCCTAACCCTAGAAATCTGCTTCAACTGAAGCAAAGATGAGTGCTTGACTGAATCTGGAGCTAGAGGCGGTTGAGGTTCCGCTCTTTGAAGGTACCTGCTAACCCTAGTTTTCGAGGTTCTTTCTTTTTAGAAATCGATGAAAAGATTGGACAAAATCTCTGCTTTTCAGCGATTTTGTTTTCTAGATTTTTGGGGATTTACTGGATGGGATCATTTTAGGTACATTTCCTCCCATTTTCCTTGATAAAAACGCTTCTTGCTCGATGCATCATTTTTCTTTTGTTTCCAATTAAAAAGCATCGTTATTTAATTAGCACCATGAAGGGAAATTTGAAATCTTTAAGCAATTCCCCGGATGTTTATTTTTGTTAAGAAAAGGGAACGCAGCTAATAGTGTGACTGTGTGATTCTGATTTATTTAGGGAAAACTTTGTGCTTTCAGCAATCTCTACTCTGAAAATACAGTAAGCAATGTTTGCGTGCTTCTTTGATGAAACCTTTTGTTTTGTTATTCATTTTTTGTTTAGGTGATTTAGCATCTTTTTTATATAATTATTAGGTGATGCTTCGCTGTGAAGAAGAATGTTGGACTCAATAACGTTTCATAACAATCCTTTTATAAAGTTTATAATTTGATGGATCATATTTTGGTCCCCGAGGATTGTCAACATATATCGAGTAATGTTTTCTAACTGATCATTCTCAAACAGAACACTAAGAAGGGGTGTTTAGTCTATTAACAATTGATGGAGAGATTATTGTTGATATTTAAATGTTAGGGCTACGTTATCTGTGCACTTGCATCATCTCTGCAGCAGAGAAGACGCCTTACTGCAGGATGCTAAAACATTGGTGTATTATCAAAATCAGGGTACTTGCAGTGCACTTCTATGATACAAGATGACTCCTCTAAACTAAATTCAGGATGGTGTCCTCTTTTCTTTCCCCTTTTTTTTGGTTTTTTTGGGAGATTATCTTTATCATTTCTCGTGTAGTAATTAGGAGATTACTCTCACCATGTAGAAGCGCCTCTGAGATGATCTTCATCATTTTACTGCAAGATGCACGTAGAACCTTCGTATTTTACTGTAAAATGCTTTTGGAAGTGTCTCTGAGATTATCTTCATCATTTTTCATGTAGTAATTGGGAGATTGCCTTCACCATTTATTTATTTGGCATGAAAACATGTTAATCTTGATCATTTGGGTTTCATGTTATGAGGCCTCTTCACCTTATTGGGTATACGTGGGACTGGGAGTATGAAATGTAGACTTACATGAAGCTTTGCATTTATAATTCATGTTATAGTCATTATCTGAATTTGAATAGCTTTGTATTCTCAGATTCCTGGCTGTCCTTGGCTTCCTATCTTTCTATGTCTCGTTTGCTTGCTTACAGCTGTTTTTCTCCATTATAATGAATATCTATATTACTATGTCTTCTCTGATTGCTTATATCTTTTTTTCTTCTTAACACTGAATATCTATCATCCTAGTAGCCTATTTTCTTTCACTTATATTTCTACTCCCTTAGGATCTCAGGGACCACTACCACAATGGTTACTAGACGCATTTAATATTGCCACATTATACCATATTCTTTTGTATACATGAACTTTATGTTGGCTTGCTAAACCTTGAGTATGCTATCTGCTTTGCTGAAACTTCGATTTAAATTACTTCATATTAAAGAACTTTTCTGCAATTTACTAGATATGGAACTCATAAAATGCATTTTCAGGGTAATATCTCATGTGCGTAGGGTTGAATCTATCATCTGTAAAAGAAGAGATCAAGAGAGCAAAAGAAGATTTCATTTATTTTCTGCATTGACTTGTAAAAGATACAACAAAAACAATCTTTATTGCTAATTTGTTTTGCCGGCTGACTTTGTAAAAGATATCATTCTCATATATAAGATTTCCAAATATCTCCATATTCTTGGATTGAGCATTTAGTTGTTCTCACCAATAGAAGCATCTAAGCAATCATTACTGTAAGAAGATAGTAGACACTAAAGTTTAACCCTCATATCCTCATTAAAAAGCAGGACAGATGTAACAAGAAAAATGGACATTCCTTCCTGAAGAGAAGTTGGGAATCTGCTTTTATAATCGACCTTCTAATTTATTCCTCCGTATTTCATGTACTACTTATTAGGATCTAATACAAGAAGGCATGTAAAAACCATCAGAATTTTCCATGTTCGTCACTCTTACGAGCACGGTTTTAAATTCAGAGTTTTAGGCTTTTACCTATAAATGTAAATAAATTGTAAAACAGATATAAGCTAATGATGTTTTCGTATCTTGTACATGCAAAGGCTGCCTCTTTTGATTGGATCAATTCATTTTATCTGTGCAAGGTTTTTTCTTGTACCTGAAAATTTTGATAATCCAAAATTCCAAATGTTGCAATTGTTGCTGATAATGTAGCAGAGACACTTCTACATGCTTGAGAGGTAAAGACTATCCTCGTCATGTGTTTCTCTACTGTGGAATGGGTCAATTATGGGTTTGATCTGTGCCAAAACTGAACTAAAATTCACTAGAATATTGTTGAGCCTGGACATTTAAGAATGATAGGGTAAGAACTTGTACCTTGACCTGATAAGTGATAAGAGTATTGACCAATATTTGGTTGATTTTCATTTAGAGATTAATGGGTATCCTTGTCATAGGAGAGGATTTCCTCCTTGACGCCTATGTGACACAATCCCCACCATCCTCATAAAATAGGAGAGAGAGTGTGTGTGAGTTGGTGGGGATTTGTTCCTACTTTATGAGGATGGTGGGAATTTGTTCCTACTTTATGAGGATGGTGGAATTGTGCCACATATGCGTCAAGGAGGGAAATCTTCTCCTATGACAAGGATACCCATTAATCTCTTTCATTTAATGCATAACCAATTTTAGCGCGTGCCTACAAATCCAACCCTGATATGCCCATTTTTGTGGCTTAGATTTAAGAAAATTAAATGGATCAAAGCCCAGGCTTACAGGAGCCTGGACTGAGCAGGACCCAGTCTTAGCTGTGGGTTGATAATATAAATTAATATTTCAATTACACTTTATAATAATTTAGTGATTGCCTTCTTACTCTCTTTTTTTCTGAATATTTGTGCTAGCTCTATCTCCATTAGAGACGGCCTGAAACTGTAGTTTCATGAAGAGCTTATTATTGAATTTGAACTAGTGACTTGCGCCTTTTCATGACTCAAGCGAAATTTGCCATGTCTCACCAATACACACAGAGAGAGAATTCTACAGCAGTCCCATCTTTCAATACAATTATAGTTTTATGTTGCTGTTAATGTGTTGGTATAATTTTTTAGGCTATTTAGATCAAATTGTGTGTTACAGATCAAAGTTTGCTTTTGGAAGGAATCCCGAACAGCTGCCTCTTTAGTGAAGGCAGCTATGCTACGTACAGGACCTAAGGAAGCCCAAGGCCATGACAACAACAATCAGAAGGTTTATCCTCAACCCATAGATGAGACAGTAAATCCGGCAAAAGAATCAATGAACACCCTGATATCAAAAGTCTTCAACAATGTTTCATCTTTGAAGGCAGCATATATCCAGCTTCAGGATGCTCACACTCCTTATGATCCAGATAAAATCCAGGCTGCTGATAAACTTGTTATTGAGGAGCTCATGAAGCTATCTGAACTTAAGCATTCTTACAGGGACAAGAACCCAAGACCCACTTCAACATCACCTCAGGACTCTTGTCTAGCTGCTGAAATCCATGAGCAGCAGAGTTTACTAAAGACCTATGAGGTAATGGTGAAAAAGTTCCAGTCCCAGATTCAAAATAGGGACGCTGAAATTGTCCAACTACAGCAACAAATTCAGGAGTCCAGTCAGAGAAAGCTGAAGCTCGAGAAGAAACTCAAGCAGAGGGGTTTACTCTCCAAGGAACCAGAAGAGTCCGAAGAGAACCATTTCTTCTCAGTTGAATTAACCCCAACCCTTTTCTCTTCTTCTGCGGAAACTGTTTGTAAATCCATCCATGATTTCTCAAAGCCATTGATCAACATGATGAAAGCAGCAGGGTGGGATCTTGATGCCGCAGCTCATGCCATTGATCCTGCAGTAGTTTATGGGAAAAGGGCTCACAAAAAATACGCATTTGAGTCTCATATATGCCAGAAAATGTTCAGTGGATTTCAAGAAGAAAGTTTCTGTGTCGAATCTGGTCATCTTAATGTTTCTAGCGAGAATTTCTTCCATCAATTTCTTGCTGTTAGAGCTATGGACCCACTTGACATACTGAGCCAAAGCCCAGATTCTGTGTTTGGTAAATTTTGTAGGAGCAAATACCTCGTGGTTGTGCACCCAAAAATGGAGAATTCCTTTTTTGGCAATCTTGATCAAAGGAATTATGTGATGAGTGGGGGGCATCCAAGGACTCCTTTTTACCAAGCATTTCTTAAGCTGGCTAAGTCAATCTGGTTGCTTCATAGGCTTGCCTTTTCATTTGATCCCAAAGTTCGGGTTTTTCAAGTGAAGGGAGGGACAGAGTTCTCAGAGGTATATATGGAAAGTGTGGTGAAGGACATAGTTATAGATGAGAAAGAAGAGAAGCCTAAAGTTGGGCTTATGGTGATGCCTGGATTTATGATCAGTGGAAGTGTAATACATGCCCAAGTTTATCTTTCCGGGGTTAAATCTTCTGAATGATGAACTCGTCAATAGATGAAGGGTAACCTCTGCTGCTCTTTGCTCTCTTTAATTTATCTGGGTTGTACAAGTAACAAAATGTATATGTAAACATGCTGATGCTGCATTGTATTCTCTCTTCATTTGCTGACCGCATGAACGTATGAAGGGATTCACACTTTGCCCTCTGATGAAAGTTACACTAGTTCTTTCTAACGTTGCAAGAAATTAGAAGTGTAGATATTTAATTCGACTGCAGACTTTAGCTTGTATGGTATAATTTGTTGAGTGTTCGGAGATCAGCGTCATCAATTATGTCCTCTGATGAGTATTGAGCTTTCTTTTCTTGTTTCGCTTTCTTTTCTGGCTCCATACTATTAGTTAATGGTCAGTATTATTTCCTAGATCACAGTCTCCCAAAATAATATTTTTCGGTGTCTTGTGCCTAGTTATTTCCAAAGACCTTGGTATTTTTAATGTTTCAGCGTTTTTTCGAATTATCTCTAAAATGTTAAAATTAACCTTATGTTCTGTTACTTTCTTTGTTACTGCTTTTGGTTCATTTGAGGTATTTCGGTAATTTCAGGGGAATGTTGAAATACTCGAAAGATTTCAGTGTTTATATGGAAAAATATGAAGGTTTTGTAGATTTATTGAGGTGTGCTTGGCAACTTTGTAAAATTGGGCTAGAACTAAACTCGGCTAATTTTAATTATTTCTTGTTTGGAAAAAAAAATTCTCAAGCTAAAGCTGACCTAATCTTTTCAGCCTAAAAATTAGCATTAAACTAGTTTTCTTTTGGTGTGTGTGTGTGTGGGTTGGGGGGGTGCCTAAAGAAAGCTGGTTTAGCACGTGTTAAAGTAAGAGAGAGAGAGAGTTTTAGGTAAATTTCTCTTGAGTTGAATATTGAGTGTACACATATGTTTATACAACTAGAGGAGATTGATGTGTGTTCTCACAACCAATGTGGGACAAAAACCCACTACAATACACTATTATCAACAGCTCCCATTAAACTCATGTTATGTTGGATCAAACAAAGTGAGTTTGCGTACAAGAAACTGGAATCGATGAACAGGTAAGGCCTTTGTGAAAAAATCTGCAAGCTCGTTAGCGGATGAGACATGAGGAAGTAGAATTGTCTTGCCCTTGATAACTTGTTGACGAACAAAATGAGCGTCAATCTCAATATGTTTGGTCCTCTCATGAATACTGGATTATTAGCAATCTGAATGACACTCTTATTATCATAGTAGAGAGGAGTAGGAGTCGTAACAGAAATACCGAAATCACTAAGAAGACGACGAAGATGAATAATCTATTTACCTGTTGTGGACATTGCACGATACTCTGCCTCGGTGCTGGAAAGAGCAACAACATCTTGTTTCTTACAGCCAAGAAATTAGGGAATCACCAATAAATATACAATAACATGTGGTTGACTTTCTGGTAGTGGAATCATCAGCCCAATCAGCATCAGAATATACTCAAAGCTCCAACTTAGATGTAGCAGGAAACATAAGAGAGTGAGTGCTAGTACCCCGGAGATACCGAAGAATCCGTAATAAGGCAACATAGTGTACAGAACGTGAGGCACTAACAAATTGATTGACAATGCCAACGGCATGAGAGATATATGATTGAGAGATGCACAGATAGACCAACTGGCCAACAAGATGTCGATATCGGGTAGGATCAGATAGAGACTCACCATCAGTAGAGCGAAGTATGACATTCTGTTGGAGTGGAGTATCAACAGTTACATCGTCAGTTAGCTCAGCTCGATCTAGAATATCCGAGAGATACTTCTGTTGAGATAATAGTACACCCTGCGGGCCTTGAGAAATTTCTAGACCAAGAAAATACCGAAGAGATTCAAGATCCTTCATGTGGAACTGCTGTTGCAACTAAGATTTTACGTATTGTATACCAGCCACATCGTCACCTGTAATGATCATATCATCTACATAGATAAGTAATAAAACTCTTCCACACGATGTAGTTCGAACAAACAGAGAAGCATCTTGATGACTTTTCATAAAGCTCGCTGTGAGCACGACATCGCGAACACTCAAACCAAGCGCGAGATGCCTGCTTAAGACCATGAACAGTTTTAAAACTGGTTTAGCATGAAACTGGGTCACGACTGTGTTGTGCGCAGCGAAAATTTCGACAGAGTTTCTGGTGCACAATAAGAGAGGAAGATCTCAATAAGAATTCCCGTCTCATCAAGGAAACAAGAATCTGAAGCGAATATTTCAACAAAGTGAGATATCGGCTCTTCCTCTCATCAGTTCTAGGACTGACTTGTCGAGGGATCCTAAAAACTATTACAATGGTCATAAACACAAACAAACCAATTTTATATGGTTCGGTAAACTGCCTATGTCCACGGGGCAAGGAGGGGGAGATCTACTATTAGAGAGGAGAGAATGCAACTAGGGTTTACAATCACTCAATCTAAACCCTAACACAATCTCTCAAACCTCTCACACAATTATCTCTCAAAAGGGAATGCACAAAACCCTAGAACAGCTGCACAAAAAAAAAACTCCTCATCAAAACAGCCGAAAAAAGCAATCTGCTTTTTCTCCAAGCCTAGCCATCTTTCTCTTCTGCTATGAACCTTTTTCTCCTCCTGCACGCTGAAAAGAAAAAACCTACTTGTTAGGTTTTATAGCTCTCAAATCGAGTTCGGGTGGGCCAGGCTTTGATTGTTCTCGGGAACACCTCACACGAAAGAAGGAAAAAAAAGGACACATGTTGTGGCCCCCACTACATCTCATTCACAATTCTCTACCTCGGCGAAGTTTCCCAAAACTGAGCCGACACCAAAGCATCCAAATATCCCACTTGTTATGTCCAGTACGCCATGAAGCAATTCACAATAATGGACTCAATCCACAACAAGTCGAGAACCCGAACGAGAGTCCATAAAATCTCACCCCCGTCAAAATTAATTAATCCAACCCGGCTGAATCAAATATGACTATCTACGTATCCTCTTGCCCAAGGAATCAAGCCGAACGTAGTTCACCCAAATGGCCGCGAACGACCTCAATCCAATAGAAGAGTTCGCAACCCTTCTCCAATATCATTAACTCTGCGGTTGATAGCACCTCCAATGGCCTCAAACACCTCCACATGAGGTGAACCAATGACCATATCTAAACTGTATCTATCAGCTACACTCGAATCAAAATCCAACTCATCATCTGCATCCAAAAACAAATGATCTCCAAACTGTGTCACCTCAGCTGGAATCCCAAACGATATAGTATGATCTGGAGTATGTGGAGTAATCTCCACCCAATGTGGAGTAGTATCACTCTTCACCTGCTGTGATACCTCTAAGGTCTGTCCAAAACTCTCCACCTGCTGAGAGTCAAATAGCTCCCTCATCGAAGCCTCAACCGAAGTGACACTACCAGACCAAACACCCAATTGAGTTTTACCTCCTATCATAGCAGTTGCTAACTCTTTAGTAAGATTGCTCGAATATGTCGAAGTCTCAGTCCAAAAACTCTTCTGTAGACCATTGCTTGACAACAAACACCGATCCTCCTCCAGCAAGGCACGGTTCTCCAAATTTGCCACCATATCTCGTTGCCCCAAGATTTCCTTTCCAGCGAAGTGTCTCGAAATACCGTGAGCTCGGCTCCAATACAGAAACATGTCCATCTTGTACCTCTCACCAAAATCAGAATGAAGTACATTCTACCTTTCTGTCTATCATATACTTCTTTAATTTGTTAGAGACTACTAGGACTTTCTCCATAGGGGATTTGGTTGCAACCCAAACACACCTAGAACAGTCACCAACAAAGGAAACCAAACTTCTATTACCTCCCAATGATGCCTCCTTGGGAGGCCCCCAAACATCCACGTGAACACCTACAGAACGACCCTTAGCACGGTGGATAGAGGTGCCAAACTTTAACTCGGTCTTCTTGCTCACATCAACATATTCACTGGACTTCAAACTGCAGGTCTTCGCATCCTCTTTCAATCTATGCGAGGAATCAATACTGGAATGGCCAAGCCCCAAATGTAGCAGTCTAGTCGAAGCAATAGAAGTCGTCAGTTCTCCACCTGCCACTATACCTCCAGTCAAGTAATATAGGTTATTCCTCCTGACGCCCTTCATCATAATCCGAGAGTCTTCCACAATCTTGAGAACTATATCCTCAATTTGAACATTCAGACCCTTTCCAACCAAAGCTCCAATCGAGATCAAGTTCTTCCTCAAAGAAGGAACATATCTCACATCATTTAACTTCCTAACAGTCTCGTCAAACATTTTTATGTGAATTCTTCCTATCCCAAGGATCTGGCATGCACGGTTATCAGCCATGTATACCACACCACTATCCCGCTTCTCAAAACTAGAGAACCATTCCCTTCTAGAGCACACATGATTGGTCGCACCACTATCCAACATTGATGCGGCATAAAAATGTACCAAAAAGGTTGCAAGTGCACAACCGTGTCAAGTTATAGTATTTAAAATATCGATCCCACGAGGAAGGTGTTTTGTAGGAGAAAATATGAATTCGGTTCTTATGTTGTGTGCGTGACAAATAGGAATGAAAAGAAATTAGACTAGTTTCATACAATTCTAAGATTCCTACAAGAATTAAATTCACATCTTAAGAAATAAAAACAAGAAAAAGAAGACTAATTACAAAATTAAAAAGAAAAGAAAAATCTAAACTATGAACAAGAAATAAATCTAATTACAAAGAAAATAAAAATCTAAACTACAAAATAAATTGCAGAAATTAAATGCAAGAAAAATAAATCTACTCTACAAATTAAAGTGCAAAAAGAAAATAAAAAAGACAAGAAAGTAAATCTATACTACAAGCATGAATTTAAATCTAACTAATAAGCAATAATAAAGAAATTACTAAAAAGAAATAAAAGAGAAAAGAAATGCAAACCTTCAAATTGCTCTTCATCTCCATCCTCATCATTCAACAAGAGGAGAAAGAACAAATTTAAAGAGGAAAAATTATTATTATTAATTGCAACTAAAGTTATAATTTTTGGAAGGCCTTCTCAATTAAGAGTAGCCCTCCTCTCCAAAAGGAGTTTACAAAATTTTCACACCTCTAACCCCTCACTCTCTACCCCTATTTATAGTAATCTTCAATGAATATGAGCCATTGGATTTGTCTTGAGCCCCAAGTAACAATCTCCACCTTTGAATTTGCTTTTTGTTTCCAACATAGGAGGCCCATATGATTTATTTGATTCTCACAAGAAAATCAAAATTCAATTGCAAAAGCCTAGTCCAGTC